ACAAGGCCCTATAGCAAAAATCTCTCCCTCCCTTAAAAAAAAAAAAAAAAGAACATGCAGCAAAACCTAGCAATTTCTCTGCTAGAACTGTATGAGCAAGTTTTAACATATACAGTGTATACGTTCAAGGATATTCGTAACATCATAGCAAATTTTAAAAGAAGAGAAGGAGAAAAGGAAGAGTAAGAATAAGAGAAAAAAAAGAAGAGAAGGAAGAAAAAGGACAACAAAAGGAAACTAAAGACCATGTACATCCGCATGCGTGTGTGTATCCAAAATCTCAAGAGTCGGACGGCGGACTGTGCAGTATGGCCATCCCCTCAGGGAGCTGTTTCTCACTTTCCCTCTGTCTCTCTTGTTCGCCTTCTTTCAGGTGAGTACATGTGCTCTATAGCAAATTATTAAAACAAAACAAAATAATGAAGGGAGGGAGGGAAGAAAAGGAAGCGTTTTTTCTGGGGGAAAAGGGAATAAAGTTTATCTCAAGGTCAGAAGTAATGTAAGTTACTTAAGGGGAGAGAGAGATGGGGACACAGGTAGGCTTAAGTGCTTATTGATGAAAACACAATTCAGGATGATCTCAACCCCAAGAAGACTGTGAGCAAGCCATGCCACAATTCCTTCTCCTTCATTATCCTCCTGGGATTTGGGGCACACATGCACACATGCCTGGTGTGATTTTCAGGCCACCAGAACTAGGACTCAAACTGCTGTCAGCCATGTGCAAGTCCAGAGCCTTAACCACTGCACCACTTTTGGCCCCAACATGATGAATCTTAAAAATATAATGAAAAAAAAAAGCTAAAAAATATGCCCTTTTGCCATCTGTGTGTGTATGCATACTTGGCAAAGCCCTTAAAACAAGGAAATGGTGAACATAAAATTCAGGATTTTGATCCCTTGAGGATAGAAACGAAAGTACTTAAGAAAGGGGTTAAAGGTCTATAAATATTAACAATGTTCTATCACCAAGGCTGGAATGTGGGTGTCTTAGTCCATGATTGTGATCTGAGATTGGGTGATTTATAAAGAAGAGAGATTTAGAGCCAGCTCTACAGCCTAGTGCTTAAGAGAGATGAATTCCACACGGCTGGCTGTGGTTCAGGTCCCAAATGGAGACTTGAAAGCAAGCCAGGTGAATGTGTGTGTGTCCCAAATCATGACAGAATGGAGAGAAGGGATTGTGGTGTGACCACACTCTATTAGGAAGCACGTTTTCCCTCTCTTGCTCTCTGTCTCTCCTTCTGGAGAGGGAGTACACACACGCAGTGGCAATTTAAAGAAAAGAATAGAGGTTTATTTGATTCACAATTCTGGTAGCCAGAAAAGGTATGGGCCAGTATCTGGCCAGATACTGATCTACATCACAACACAAAAAACAGAAATGGGGGGTGGTGGATACATGCGAAAAGACAGGAAACGACACACCTCAAAAAAACAACATTCTGAGAGATGGATTTACTGGGCAGAAGGTTGTTGCCCTGCACACCAGGGAGCTGTTTCCTGGCAGGACATCGATGGGCATTGGGGCTCCTAGTTCTCATTATCAGGCCGGCTCTGCCTCCCCCAGGTTCTCTGAGGCCGATTCACCCAGAGGACAGCACTGAGCATGCCCAGGAGCAGGGGCAACTTCAGGAAGACCAGGAGCAAGAAGTGGATACTGCTGACCAGGGACCTGTGGGGGGAAACAGGGACAGTGAGCCACCTCCCCTGGGGATCCCTCCTGGTCCCTCCACTTTCCCCCTGTCCCTTATGCCCAAACCCTGTGGCTTCAGCAATCCAGCTTAGGACCAGTGTGGACAAGGCAGCCTGACACGGAGGACCAGTGCACCTGAACTGTCATCCTAGGAGTGGCCCAGGAGGCCCATCTGTGGCCACCCTGAGGCCCAGCTGTGGCCACCCTAAGGCCCAGCACAGTGGCAACGCACAAAGTCTCAGCTACTTCAGGGAGCAGAGGCAGGAGAACCTCAACATAAGACCCTGTCTAAAAAAATAAAACCACCACTACACACACACACACACACACACACACACACACACACACGTGTGCACTCACATAAGTCCTTGAGACTTAGGACTATGGGCATGAGGCGGGCACCCCCATGAAAATGACGTGAGGGGAGACCTAGGGGCCCAGGCAGACCCCGTCCAGGGGATGTCTAGTGAGCCTCTGCACTGGGTGGCTGCTCCCTCTGGGCTGGGAGTCAGTAAGGAGGTGGTAAGTTCAATGCCTGCCCCTCTGGATGGTACTCCCATGGTCAAGACCTTGCTCCTGTGTGCACAGGGTTGAGGGACCTGCCCCGTACCTACACAGCATTCTGCAAAGTTCATGGCTGTCAATGACATGACCGAATGACCCAGCTCAGGGCGATGACACTGGCCAGGCTGTGGGTTGGCAGGGGACTCTGCCAGGGACTCCGCAGGGCCAGATGAGCCCACAGCGTCTGCTCCCAGCCTATGCCTGGCTAGTGTCCTGAAGCTCCTTCCGAGGACTTCTGTAGGCACTCTTCCCCCTGCCTGGACTGCGGTCTCTCCAGACCCCAGTGCCAGACCCTGCAGCCCTGCGGGTCTCCACTAGATGTCCTCCCCTCAGCGTGGCTTCTTGCTCATACTGTGTAGACAGCAATCACCAACACATTGTCCTCAAACCCAAGTGGGAAATATCTCTTCCCAGTTTTCATCGCAGACTGCCACGTCACATGACTTCTGTGCTGCCTTGTCCACCACGCAAACCCGCCCAAGGGGACACAGCTCCCATCAGAGCAGGGGTGGGTCTCTGTGGTTTTCTGCCATGGCCCCATCCCGAAAAAGGGCCTGGCACTTCATAGAAACAGCTTCTTCCCTTTTCCTCTTCCTCTTCTTTTCTCTCTCTCTCTCTCTCTCTCTCTCTCTCTCTCGTGCACGCTCTCTCTCTTTTTGTCGGAGGGCATGCGCGCTTGCGAGAGAGAGAGACACGCAGAGAGAGAACACCCGCACTGGAACGTGGCCACTTGTTAATCTGGTCTCTTTCATTCCTCTGTCCTATTGGGGCTTTGCACACCCACACACGTGCCTGACTTGCTGAAACCTCTGGGTCCAGGACTCACACCTTGGTCAGTCATGGGATCCAGCCCCCTTAACCACTACCTTAGCAGGAATCCCTTAACTGGGAATGAGATCATTGACTAAAGGAGGGGCCAGGAGAAGAGAAACACAAATCTCCCCAACCCCCCCACTCCGACCTAGAGAAGATGCCCCCAGGCTCCTGGCCCCGCAGGCTCCTTACCAGGGCTGTGGGCTGAGGTCCGAGGTGTCCTGTCTGGTTGCGGTAGACCAGGTGCCCACTGGCAGGATGGTGGGAGGACCTGGTGTGGGTCTCTCAGGGCTGGAGCTTGTGGTTGGGGCTGAGGGAAAAACACAGTCAGGACTCTGACCCCACCTGGTCTCCCATCCCTGTCCCCTGTGGAGCCCTGACTCACAGACCAGGTCACTGTCGGGATGGAATGAGCAGGAGAGGAATCTAGACAGAGCCTCCCCCGTCGGACTCCCCGGAGAGCAGCCTGTCGTGAAGCCTCCTGGACTAGAGGAAGGCCTTCCCTTCACACACCCAGGGACGTCAAATCGATTTCAGTTCCTCGCTCTTATTTTTATTTTATTTTCAAATTTTTGCTAGGGTGGGGGCAGCAGGTGGCATGGTGGCTAAGGTGCTGGATTCCCACTATGGCCAACCAAGGTTCGAGTTCCAGACCTGGAGCCTTCAAAATCACGCTGGGGGAACCAGCAGTTAGCTTAATGGCTATGTCGCTGGACTCCCACGTAGTCGACCGTGGTTCGCTTCCTGGAATGGCTTAAACCTCACGCCGGGCGCGTGTGCGTGCGTGCCCAAGATCCCGAGAGGAGAATGGAGGAGAAGGGATTGTGACGTGACCATCCCCCCGTAGCCATCCTCCCTAGTGGGTGATTTCTCACTTTCCCTCTCTCTCTCTGTCTCTCCGGTCCAGTTCCTCACTGTTCCAAAGGATCCCACAGGCACGTGAGGACAGGCTCTCGCGGGAAAGAGAATCCAAACCTGGGCAGGAACTGGAGACTGTCAGAGCCACGAGGGCAGCCCACACAGACTGGGGTCACCTGCAACGCGAAGGAGGGCTGGGGACCAGGAGGTCGGAGAGTGCACTGCGATCCCACTGCTCCCTCATGGAGGGGAGGCAATTTCAGGGGGTCCCTGGGTTCCCCACTTGGTAGAAGGTGCCAGAGAGAGGGAGAGACAGGTCAGCCTGAGAGGGCGCGGGCCCCCCGGCCTGGCCCTCTGTGCTCATGGACCACAGCTGCGAGGACACTGCCTCAGGAGCCATCGGGACGGGGCGGGGTCCTCGGGGCCAGGGTCAGGGCAGCTGTGATGGGGAGCAGATGCCACAGGGGTCCTGGTCCCAGAGTGAGGACGGGGACAGGTCCAGGTAAGACACAGGTCCCCGTCGGAGAGGACTGGGCTCTTGTCAGGACGGGCAGGTCACAAAGGCCCCGCTCGGGGCTGTCCCTCGGTCACCACCGCCTCGAGGGTCAGGCCTGAGACAGTCAGTGTGGCCACAGGGAGGGGCCTGGGATAGATGGAAGGTTCCAGAGAAGACACAGGTGCTCTGTCACACACACATGCCCCCCCCACATATATGAAAGTACATGCGCACACATACACACTTACACACACCCCGCAGGTCCCAAATCACTATCCTTAAGACACCCAGTCCTCTGTCCCTCTTCTGTCCTCAGGGAGACCTGCTGCAGACACCTGCAGCCCTGGGGTTGGTGGGCTGGGACTCACCTGGGGACACGAACACCACAACCTGCTGGGTGCGATCCAGATCCCAGGGTCTCTTAATCGCAGACCAGTAGGTGCCTGCGTCCTCCTCTGTGAGGTTCTCCAAGGTCACTATGAAGGTGAGGCTGGTAGGGTGGTCCCTGATGGACACTCGGCCGCTCCGCACTTCCAGCTCTGATGCTTGGGTCTCCACGATCTTGTCGCAGAGCAGGTGGTGTGGCTTTCTGCACCAGTACTTGCTATTCGCCTGGAATTTCTGCTCATACTGAAACTTCAGCCTCAGGGACCCGCCCACGGTGCCCCTCACAGCGCTGGGGCCACTCAGGGGGAAACAGCCTGCAACACACAAGCCCAAGTCCTGGCCCTCACCGGATGGCCTAGGCTGGGAGTCCCGGGGCTCAGGTCTGCAGGGCCTCCAGGAGCTGGAGGAGACAGTGCAGGGAGACAGGCCTTGCCAGACCCAGGGACTGGACTGAGGGATCGAGGAGCTGCTTCCTGGCAGAGCCGTGCGTGGAGGGGTGTCCCTGCAGACAGGAAGGGTGTGGGGTGTGTCAGCACTGTGTGTGTGTGTGAGAGAGAGAGAATGTTCCCATGTATGTGTGTGCGCTTGTGTCTGTGAGTGCTCACCCGCAAGCATGTGCGTGTGTGTGTGCACGTGTGTGTGTAGTGGACCAGGATGGCACTTCGGACTGTGTCCTTACAGCTGTGACTATCACAGACCCCTTCCAAGATGTAGGGAGCACAACTTCGCCGCACTGTACCCCAGCCTCCTTGTCACCTGGGAGGCAAATGCTGATGCTCCTCGTGTCCCTCCACTCCTGCCCTCCCAGCCCCGCCTGCCTTGGTGTCCTCCTGGCGGCTCCAGCCCCTCCTCTGCCTCTCTCCCACCCAGTACAGAGTGTCCTGGGACAGGACCAACCCATTTACCTGGGATGTGCAGGAGGAGCAGAGCTGAGGGCAGCCACGCGGTCCCACCCCTGGTCATTTCTCCAGCACAGACGTCTCTGGAACAGGCTGGGTCCCAGAGGGCAGAGCAGGGTTCCAGGAGGGGAGGCAGGCCCCTCACAGCGAGCCCGTCCCCGTGTGCACTTCTGCTTTCTGCCCCTCGTCTCCTCGTCCAGTCCCGTCTCAGGCCGGCGCTCCAGTTGGTCAGGATGCGGGAGCCTCAGGGAAAGGAGCCGCCTGGACCCGGGCAGGTGCCCTGGGACTCGGTGCTGCTGGCCCCTCTCACTCCCAGCCCCTGGGCATGACCAGGCCCTGTCAGCTGGGATGCCGCCCTCCCACACCCTCACTGTCGGTCCCCTGCCTCACTCCCCGTTCCGCACAGCAGAGCCACACCGGGCCATTCCTCCCACTGGGGCTCACCACCCCTGTCACTTGTCACTTCCTGTGTGAGGATGCACAGTCTGGGGCGGAGCCACCTCCGTCCACCCTCTCTGGCCCCAGTGCTGACGACCAACAGGGGCTGGTCATAATGTCGTGATCGCTAGATAAGAAGCAGCCCTGGGCCGGCCCTGTAGCCTGGTATTCATGTTGGGCAAATTTACTTTACAAGCTGTAGTCGTATAGTGATTCAATGTATAAAATAAATTTAAAAAAAATGGCAGAGTCTGATCCCACAGAGCCGACCATACAATTCAAGTCTCGGCCCCAGAGGTGTGTTTCAGTGAAGCAACACCCTGGGTGTGTGCCCAGATCCAACAGGATGGAGAAATGGAAGAGAAAGGACTATGGTGTGACCACTTCCATTAAGAAGTACTCTCTCTTGGGACCAGCAGTTGGTGCAATGGCTATGTCGCTGGACTCCCATGTAGTCGACTGCGGTTCGAGTCCCGGACCCAGTGTCTTAAACTCACGCTGGGCACATGTGCGTGCATGCCCAAGATCCCGGGAGGAGAATGGAGGAGAAGGGATTGCGGCATGGCCATCCCCCCGGGGATTGATTTCTCTAGCCCCTTTTGCCAATCCAAAAAAGGAAAAGAAAGAAAGAAAAAGAAAGGGCTTTCTCCCTCTCCCTCTCTGCTTCTCTCAAGCAACCCTACATGCCCTCTGGCAAAGTTTTAAAAAATATGCAAAAAGGAAGAAGCTTGGAAGGAGGCAGTAAACCCAGCTCCAAGCTAGGTGACCAGGTCCACAGGGAGCCCTGGGCCTTTCTGCCTCTTCCAGGGATTAAAAGTCTACATAGCCAAGCAGTGTGTGCTGCTTCACAGTCGAGCACAGGCCTTGGACTGAGTTGGGGGTGTCCCCTTCCAGCCTGGCCCCATCTCCTTCCCTGAACACTGGTCTTAGGGACTCAACAGGCTGCAGTCTGACTACCCAGGGCTCTTGACTCCTGAGCCCTGGTTGCACCTGAATCCTGGCTCCTGGCCCCTGGGATGTCTGAGTCCTCCTCTGGTTGGAGCCACAGGAGACATGGTGAGCCCTGCTCAGATCACTCAGGCTGACGAGCGGGTCTGGGGTGTGGACCAGGCTATGGGACTCAGCCTGGACTCAGTCTGTGTGTGGTGTCCGGGGTCAGGATACTTTAATCCTGTGGGAGGAGCCCAGCGCTGAGAAGCAGTCCTGTTAGAGTGGGCGTGTTCCTAAGTCCCGTGACAGGTCCAGAGTGTCCCCATGTCCTTGGCCAGCAGGTATTCTGGTGACTGCCAGCTCGGGCAGAGGAATGTGTCTTGGAGACGAGGTGTCCCTACAGCCCCCGCAGTCCACGGTGCTCTGCGTGCACCTCCTCGTGGCTCAGTGGGCGGACCCCGTGTTCAGTGTCCTGCCACAGTAAAGTTAAAACTTTATGAAGTCCTGGGACCAGCAGTTAGTGTAATGACTATGTCGCTGGATTCCCACGTAGTTGACCGTGGTTCGCGTCCCGGACCTGGTAGCTTAAAACTCATGCCAGGCGCATGTGCGTGCATGTCCAAGATCCCGAAAGGAGAATGGAGGAGAAAGGATTGTGGCGTGGCCATCCCCCCTGGGGGGTGATTTGTCGTTTTCTGTCTCTCTGTCTCTCTCTCTGTCTGTCTGGCAAGCACACGTGCCCTATAGCAAAAACCTCTCAGAAAAAAAACAAAACAAAACAAAACAAAACCTTATGAAGTCCAGAGGAAAGCCCTGCGTGGGCTGGCCCCAGCCTCATGGGTACGGGAGTCGAATCTCGCATGGCTGTGTGCAGTTTAAATCTCAGGCACAGGGGCTGGAAAAGCACCAGCGTGTGTGTGCAAAATCTCAGCATGATGGGGAAACGGAGGAGAAGGGAAGGCGGTGTGACCATGTGCTCGCTTTCTTTCTTTCTCTGTCTCTCTCTCTCTGTCTCTCTCTCTCTCTCTCTCTGGTGCTCTCTGGCATTAAAATGAAAGAAAAGCACAGCTTTGCAAAAGCCCACTACACCATCTGCAGGTGGCTTGTACTGCTACCTGTGTTCCTGTCCCTGCGGCTGGGAAGTAGAAACACTCCTGTCCTTGAGTGTCAGGCTGTGTCACTGATCCTTCCAGATCCCTCCAGATAGTCTGGGCTTCTAAGGAGGGCTCCAGTCCCCCAGAATGAGCATCTTGGGTTTTCAGAGAGACAGTTTGAGCTCAGGATCGGGATCATTTTTGGGCAGGATGCTATGCAGGGGCAGAAATCCCAGAAGGAGAAATTCGGAAGTCCCTTCTAGACATGTCCCCCAAGAATGGGGCCTAGGGACAACAGATAGAGAGACTCATGGACACTGGGGCTCCCAGCTTGCAGGACCCAGGACTTCAGGGCCCCCAGATGCCGGGCCGACCTGGCTGGGGAACAGCTTCACTCGCTGCCGGTGCAGCTGGGCATCAGGCTGCTGCTTTTCCCTCCAGCCAAGACAGAGCTGGTTCTGGGGCTGGGGTGATGTGAGCCTGCAGGGAATGTAGGGGACCCTAGACATGGAGCTGAGAAGGTACAGATAGAACGTGGGGCTCAACCCTCTCCTGCCCATGCCACCCGTTCTCCATGGTTGAAGTCTTGTCCAGAGTTCTCGCCCCCAGAGAGTCTCTGGCTGACATGAGGCTTGGATATGGGAGAAGGTCCCAACAGGTAACTTCACTCTGCCCAGGCGTCCAGGCTTCAGAGATGTTAAAGCCTAAGACTAGGTTTGAGACCATCCAGGTTAACTTCTTTCCTTTCTAAAAAGTTTATTCATGGGACCCAGCAGTTAGCATAATGGCTATGTCGCTGGACTCCCACGTAGTCAACCGCAGTTCGCGTCCCGGACCCGGTGGCTTAAA